GCATGCTTACATTCCCACTGGAAGTCATGGCCACCCCTGGAATATTGGGCTCTCCTAAGGACTCATCTGGGGCCCCTTAAAAATCATCATTCCTGCCGAGGCTGGTTTGCCTCCGTGGATAGAGCGTCAGCCTACAGACTGAAAGGTCCCAGGTTCGATTCCAGTCAGGGGCATGTACCTTGGTTGCAGGCACATCCCCGGTGGGGGATGTGCAGGAGGCAGCTGATCAATGATTCTCTCTCATCGATATTTCTAACTCTCTATCACTCTCTTTCTTGTCTGTGAAAAATCAATAATACACACACACACACACACACACACACACACACATATATATATATATATATATTTATTTTTTTTTTAAATCATCCTGCCGAAACCGGTTTGGCTCAGTGGTAGAGCGTCTATCTGCGGACTGAAGGGTCCCAGGTTCGATTCCGGTCAGGGGCATGTACATTGGTTGCGGGCACATCCCCGGTAGGGGGTGTGCAAGAGGCAGCTGGTCGATGTTTCTCTCTCATCGATGTTTCTAGCTCCCTATCCCTCTCCCCTCCTCTCTGTAAAAAATCAATTATATATATATATATATATATATATATATATATATATATATATATATATATATTTTTTTTTTTTTTTAAATCATTTTTCTGGTGGAGAGGGAGACATTCCCTGACAGTAAGCCATCTGGGAAGCAGGGAGTCACTTGGGGGCAGCAGTCACACCACGCTCAAGCAGAAGCACCCTGAACCGTGGCCCCATTTCCTTTGCATTCTGCCCGGGCTCCTGAGCAGAAGCCAGGGGGTCCCCTCCAGCCGTGCACCCTGAAGGATGTGTGGAATGCCTGCTGACCCTCGCCATTCCATTTCTCACTCCACTCCGCCAACAGGCAGAGAAGGGGGTCGCCGTCTTGTCTGGTTGATTAATCCCAAGCACCAGGGAAACGGTTGAGACGGCACAGTAGAGGTTGGCCCTAGACCTGGAGTCCAGAGGACTCACCGAAGGGCCTCGTCACCACCCTCTGCCCAGAGCCCTGGTCAACAGAGACCTTCAGCAACCCAAGAGAGCCGAGACCGCCACGGACCAGACCCTCCACGTGACACCCCTGCCCGACCGCGGAGCTGGCGAAGGGCGAGGAGAATGTGTCCTTGGGCGTGAAAGGTGGCCACGATGATACATTCAGGCTGCATGCCCCCCACTTCCCGCTGCTGACTTCTGGGAAGAACTCTGGCTGAGTGCTGGGGGTGCCAGTTGAAACCCCCTCCATCACAGAGCAGCTGATGGGACACTGTGCCCTCTGTGCTGGGGCAGGGGCTTTGTAACTTGGATCAAGGACAAGAGGAGCTTCCCTGAGCTTCACCTCCTCCGCCCCAGCCGCGCCGACCCCGCGCTCTGGTGAGCTGAGCCCACAACCCTGGCATATGTCCTTGACTGGAATGGAACCTGGGACCCTTCAGTCTGCAGGCTGACGCTTTATCCACTGAGCCAAACCAGCTAGGGCTTAAGGCCCACATTTAAAAAAAATTTTTTTTGCCCTAGTGGCTAGAGCAAACTCATTAGTCAACAGAGCCAAATATCAACAGTACAACGATTGGAATTTCTTTTGAGAGCCCAATTTTTTAAACTTAAACTTCTTCTAACACCACTTCTTCAAAATAAACTTGCTCAGGCCAAGGTATTTTGTGGAAGAGCCACACTCAAGGGGCCAAAGAGCCGCATGTGGCTCATGAGCCGCAGTTTGCCGACCACGGCCCTAGCCGGTTTGGCTCAGTGGATAGAGCGTCAGCCTGCGGACTGAAGGGTCCCAGGTACCGGGCCCTGGAACAGGCAGGATATGTTTTATTCCATGTTCCTGGGTTGTGCGCTCAAACCCCAGTAGGGGGCGTGCAGGAGGCAGCCGATACAAGATGTTCTCTCATTGATGTTTCTATCATCTCTCCCTCTAATATTTTTTTGTTTGTTTTAGAGAGAGCCATTGATTTGTTGTCCCACTTATTTATGCATTCATTGGCTGATTCTCATATGTGCCCTGACGGGATATAATACGCAACCTTGAAGTATCAGGGGCAGCACTCTAACCAAGTGAGTTATCCAGTCAGGGCGAGGCCCGCACATTTCATCGTGTAGGTGCACCTTAGCTTGTTAGCTATGTCCCTATTGAACCTTCAGGCGATTTTACTGTTTATTATAAATATTATTGTTGGCTTTTTATTTGACCAATGAATAGGTGCCCCGGTCGGTGTTACTAGAAGAGACTTCTTAATAACTTAGCACAAACACATGCGGACCCTGTTTGCCCCGCTGGCTACCCTCTCCTAATTGGGTATGTCAGGAGCACACTCAGTACCTGGTGATATCACAACTTCTCTGTAAGCATGGCTACTCCCCTTCGTTTTCTCTTTCATGTCCTGTGTAGCTCATGTCAGGTTAACAAGGGCCCTCCGCTTCCTACCTGTGCAGGTAAAAATAAAAAAATAAAAAAATAAAAAATGGGGGGCCGGACCTCTGATGAGTACTCACATTTAATTTCATTCTCCCAAAAATCACGTGCAAACAGCTTTGGAGAGAGGCAGGCCTGTGAACACACCAGCTCCGCCGCTGGCCTGCTGGAGAATCTTTGGCGGTGCAGCCTGGCTTTTCCGAGCCTCAGTTTCCCCAACCGTACGACGGGGCTGAGGATGCCCTGGTGACGGGGTGGCTCTGCCGACTAAATGAGATGTCTGTGACCAGGCCTGGCTCTGCGCAGCCCGGGCCAGTGGCAGGCTCAGTCCCAAGTGAGGAGCTCAGCGCAGGGTTCAACTGGGGAGCTCAGGCAGCTGCGAGGACATCCTGCCCGCCCTGGGCTGGAGCATCGTTAGGACCAGTGGGGCTCCTGGAAGGAGGGAGCCCCTGTGTGAGCAGACAGAGTCAGCTCCGGACGGCCACGGAGCTATGCAAGGTGCCCCAGGCAGTGTGTGTTTGGGGGCGGGGGGGGGGTCCCCCACCTTCTTCTCCCTGGGAAGGTCTTGAAGCCCATCTGTAATGTGGTAACCGCCCGGGCTGGAGGGCGGGAGAGTCGTTAGGGACACCTGCCTCCTCCCCCCCCCCCCCCCCCCCCCCCCCCCGCAGTGGGAACCCGTGGTGACTGTGCACCTGCCTCAGCTGTCCCTGGGAGAACGCGGCCACAGGGGCTTCCAGGCTGCCCTGCAGGGAAGGGCGGAGTGGAGCCCAGACGGGAGTTTTCCTCAGGGCATTCGAGGGTGCAATCAACATGAGGATTAAAAAGGGAAAATCATGGCGACTATTAAAATAATCAAAGGGAAAGGAAGTGAAGCTGGCATCAGAATAAAGAAATCAGAGCCAGAAAGACATAAACCCGCCAATGTAAGACATTAACACACAATAAAAACATCTCCCAAATAATAGGGACGGGGGGGGGGGACTATTTATTAATAATCTTGGAATAATTGATTAGCTCTCTAGGGGGGAATTAGATAGACATCTTCTATCATACAGCAAAATGAGCTCCTGATGAGTTAAGTTGCGGGTGCAGAGAGTAACTTACACATGCACAAAAGACAGTAGAAGTGAGACTAGGTCCTGGCGGGGTGGAGGTGGGGGGTTGGGGGAGGGGGGGTCGATTGGTTAGAGTGTGGTGCTAATGCACCGACGTTGGGATTCAATCCCTGGCCAGGACACATGCAAGAATCAGCTAGTGAGTGCATGGATGTGTGGACAACAGATCCATGCTTCTCTCTCTCACTCTCTCTCTCTCTCTCTCTCTCTCTCTCTCTCTCTCATTTTTTTTTTAAGTGAGACTATATCAATTCTCTAGAATGGGTAATGGACTCTCTAGGCTTAAAAGGCATGAGATAAATCCCAATAGGGAAGGTGGATATGTTGGTTCCTACGAAACAAAATACTTCAGGTTAAGAAAAAATAAAAAAGTGAAATTTGTGCAACCGCTGTGGCTCAGGAGTTGAACATCGGCCTAAGAAACAAAAGGTTACGGCTAGATTCCTGGTCACATGCCCAGGTTGCAGGCTTGATCCCTAACGTGCAGCTGTTTCAATGATTCTCTCATCACTGATCTCTCTCTCTCTCTCTAACTCTCTCTATCTCTCTTTCCCTCTCTCTTCCTCTCTGAAATCAATAAAAAAATATTTTTAAGTATAATGTTATATGCAATAAACCTTAATATTTCACAAAAATCAATTTTAACTATAATAATGTTACATGCAAATAAACACCAATTATTCAAGAAAAATAATCTTACATATAATATTAGATGCAATAAACATTATTTTAAGAATAATAGGATTTTAAGTATAATAATATTACCAAACCCGTACTAACATAGTATGATATCACAAAAGTTATAGGAAATATTAAAAATCTGCCTATAACAGGATTAATTATTTTATAATCTAGAATATTTTCTTCCCTTCTGGCTCTATTTTTGTTCATCAGTTTATGTTGTTCATCATATTCCACAAATGAGTGAGATTATATTATATTTATCTTTCTACAACTGGCTAATTTTGCTTAGCATGATGCTTTTAAAGTCTATTTTGTCGGATATGAGTATTGCTACTCCAGCTTTTTTTTTCTTTTCCATTTGTATGGAAAAATTTTTCCATCCCTTCACTTTCATCCTGTATGTGTCTCTTGTTCTGATGTGGATCTCTTATAGACAGCCTATAGTTGGGTCATGATTTTGTATCCATTCAGCTACCCTACACCTTTTGACTGGAGCATTTAATCTATTTACATTTTGGGTTATTATTGAGAGGTACTTATTTATAGCCATTTTAATTCTGCATGGCGGGTTTCTCTCTCCGTTTCTTTTCTCAGAAATCCCTTACAGTAATCCCTTTAGCATTTCTTGTAATGCTGGTTTGCTGGTGATGAATTCCTTTAGCCTTTTTGGGTTCAGGAAGCTCCAGACAGAAGCAACTGCTCCACTCTGTAGGGCAATTCTGAGGAGGGCACACCTGAGGGCAATTCAAGTTGGAATCCTATTAGCCTGTAGGCAGAGGCAGTCTCTGGAGGCACTGAGTCTTAGCCTGATCCAATTAGTCAGAAACTGCCTTTAACACTATCTATTTTGAATGATAGCCTCGCTGGTTATAGTAATCTTGGTTTCAAATCCTTGCTTTCCATTACTTCATGCCATTCCCTTCTGGCCTGTAGAGTTTCTGATGAGAAATCAGGGGTCAGCCTTATGGAAACTCCTTTGTAGGTAACAGCTTTATTTTCTCTTTCGGCCTCTAAGATTCTCTCTTGTTGTAATTTTTGGTATTTTAATGATGATGTGTCTAGGTGTGGGTCTGTTTGGGTTCTTGTTTTGGTTCTCTGTACCTCCTGAACTTGTGTGACTTTTTCCTTTAGTATGTAAGGGAAGTTTTCTATCATTATTTCTCCAACACCTTCTTTATTCCTTTTTCCCTTGCTGCCTTTTCTGGCACACCTGTTATTCTAATATTGCTATGTTTCACATTGTCCCACAGCTCCCTTAAGCTGTCCTCCTGTTTTTGAATTGTTTTTTTTCTTTTTGGTTCTCTAATTTAGTGATATGTTCAACTCTGTTTCATTGATTCGATCCGCAGCTTCCCTTAATCTGCTGTATATTCCTTGCAATGTGTTTTCATCTGTGTAATGTCATTCTTTATCTCAGACTGTTTTTTTCTCGAAGCTCAGAGGGCACAGAGACTCAAGGAAGCTGGCCCTGTCATTGACTCCACACAAGGGGGTGGAGTATTTTTTTAAAAAATATATTTTATTGATTTTTGTACAGAGAGGAAGGGAGATAGAGAGTTAGAAACATCAATGAGAGAGAGTCGTCGATCAGCTGCCTCTTGAACATCCCCTACTGGGGATATGCCCGCAACCAAGGTACATGCCCTTGATCAGAATCGAACCCGGGACCTTTCAGTCCCCAAGCCGACGCTCTATCCATTGAGCCAAACCGGTCCCGGCAAGGGGGTGGAGTATTAAATCATGCTTTCCCAGCGACACCTTGGGGGAGACCGGTAGCACCACTGGCCCAGCAGGCTGCTCTGGGCGGCCCGGGGACATCCACGCCCCAGCGCCCAGCGGTGCTGGGCTGAGCCCCTGGAGGAGCCTCTGGAAGGGCGGTGCTGAAGGAACAGGGGACACGGCGCCTACACCCCTCATGGAGCCCCATGTCCTATCACCACAAGAAGCCTCTTCAGGAAACAAAACAAACAAAAGCCACTTCAGTGCCTGGCTGAGTTGACGGTCAGTGAATGCTTGTGAAATGAATAATGACCCTCACTTGGTTAATCAGAGTAAGCTTGGGGTGACCGTCAGCGCTCTTGGCGCTGAGCACACTCCCCTTCCTCTGGGATCCTGGTCCTGCTCACCTCGGTGGTGTCTGCACAAGACTTCCCATCAGGCCCGGCACCCGCATTCCCGGGCTCCTGGGCTCCTGGGCTCCTGGGCTGCACGCCCCACCTCTCACAGAGCATGGGCAGGGTGAGGAGCCAGAGGGGCCTGGCCTCCTGCTTGGCCCTGAGTAAGGAGACAGGAGGCACAGTGCCCTCCGTAGCCCCCAACCCCACAGTCTTACCCTCAGGAAGCTCTCCTCCTCTGGGAAGCCTTCCCAGATTTCTGCCCAATTGCCTCCTCTCAGAGAAGACAGGAATGAAAACACTTGTGCTTTGCTTGTGCCATTGAAGTTCTCCTTTATTGTCCTCAGTGTTCTGCATCTCAAATGTCCCAGGATGCCTGTGTCAATCACCGCCCTCAGGGCCTCCCAGTCAGAGGGGAGAGACCAGCCTTTCCCCCAGACCAGCCTCAGGGGAAGGAAGGGACTGCCCTGCCTCCAGGGGGAGCAGGTCCAGTGTCCTCCAAGGTGGGAGGCCCTGAGCACTGGGTCTCTCCGGGCGGCGACTGCAGTCACCGGGCACGAAGGTGTTCCGACCGCCCAGGCTGCGGGGCGGCCAGTGCGGGCAGCCGGGTGCAGCGGGCGGAGTGAGCAGGCGGCTGCAGGTCAGGAGCAGGTCCACCAGCAGCAGCTTGAAGAGCAGCAGCCTCAGCGCCCCCAGCCTCAGCACAAGGCCCCCCGTCCCTGCGGGAGGGAAGGAGCAGGCTGGGCCCCGGCTCCTCAGCACCCCACCCCCACGATGTCCCCCGAGAAGAGGGGCCTGGTCCTCTGCCCTGGCCATTCCCCCTCCATGTGGTCCCCCAACTTCAGGGCAGGTCCTTCCTGGTGTCTAAGCGCACCTCCTCCTGGGAATAACAAATACCCGCCTCACCTTCCCTTTCTTACATCCCCCAGTCAGGGGGCCGGGCCGGGCAGGAGGCAGCCTCGCTGCAGAGGAGCCGCTCAGAAGCTCCTGTGGCCGGAGGAGGCCGGGGGTGACCATGACCTGCAGGAGGTGGGGGTGACGGCTCCCACGCCTCCCAGGGGTCTCCGAGGCCCTGATGCTGCCGTTCCCCTGGGCTGCCCCTCTCACAGGCTCACCTGTGCTCCCAGCTGGAGGCCAGGCACCGGGCTGGAGCCAGAGGTCTTACCCGCGGGTGCACAGAGGCCCAGGCTGGCCAGGGCACCAACCCAGACAGACAGACAGCTCCTCAGGGACCCTACCAACCCCCATCGGACCCACCAGGCCAGATGGCACCTGCGGTCCTGGCCCCAGTACTCACCCCCCAGAGGCTCCCAGAGGCAGGTACTGACTGAGGACGTCTCTCCTGCCAGCCAAGGAGAAGGAGTGAGACTTGGGATGGGCTGTGCCCCCGCCCCAGTACTGTGTCCCCCGCCCCAGTACTGTGTCCCCCGCCCCAGTACCGTGCCCTCCTCCACAGCACGGTGCCCTCCGACCCAGCACGGTGCCCCGGCCCTGACATGCTGGATAAATGCACAAAGGAACCGGCAGTGGGAACTGAGCCCACTCGCTGCAGGTCCTCCGAGGGGCCCAGGTCGGCCTGGCTCCCGCCGCCCCCTGTGCTGAGCCCCTGGGAGGCGAGCTGCCTCAGCACTTCCGGACAAGGAATCGTTTTCTCAGCAGCCTTTGGAAGGCAGAGGGTTCGTTCAACAAAAATTATGTTAAAACCAACATAATCCCAAAAGAGGAAGCCATCTGGTTATTCATAGAGTAATAATAGCCCGGCTGGCCTGGCTCAGTGGCTGAGCATCGACCTATGAACCAGGAGGTCACAGTTTGACCCTCGGTCAGGGCTCATGCCCGAGTTGTGGGCTCCACCCCCAGTGTGGGGCGTGCAGGAGGCGGCTGATCAATGATTCTCATCATTGATGTTTCTCTCTCTCTCCCTCTCCCTTCCTTTCCGGAATCAATAAAAAAATATTTTTAAAGAGTAAAGTAATAGCCAAAACCGGTTTAGCTCAATGGATAGAGTGTAGGCCTGCGGATGAAAGGTCCAGGGTTCGATTCTGGTCAAGGGCATGTACTTTGGTTGCTGGCACGTCCCCAGTAGGGGGTGTGCAAGAGGCAGCTGGTCGATGACTCTCTCTCATCGATGTTTCTAACTCTCTATCCCTCTCCCTTTCTCTCTGTAAAAAGTCAATAAAAATATTTTTAAAAAGAATAAAGTAATAATAATAGATGACCTTGGACATATTACTTAACATCTCTGTCCCCGATACAATGAGGAAAACTATATGACTTCATAAATGTAAAGTGTTTACAATAAATAGTACCTGGCAGGAGGAAGCACTGAGTAAGTGGCAGCAATCAGTTATTCACTCATTGTTTGGGTCTAATAGGTGGGGTGTCATATAGGTGATATGTAGATATTAATCCTGGGGATAGAGACAGTGGCCTAGGTAGCAGGTGACGCCATGTACCTTAATGTACATCTCCATCCTAGGAGGGAGGAGGCTCTGTCACCTTGGGGGACATGCACAGAGCCCGGATTTGGGTGAGATGTCACAGTTGCAAACCCCAGGCCTCAGGGCCTCAGGTGGCCCTGCTCTGAGCCCAGGCACCCCTTCCCCTGGTTGGTGGTCACTGGGACACCCCTCATGCCCTCATGGTCTGAGCCGGCCTCCTTCCCACCAAACCCCGGGACCAGGGAGAGCGAAAGGGGCAGGGCACTCACAGGGCCCAGGCTCCGTCCCCACCTGACAGCTGCAGGGGCTGTGTGCTCTGGCTGCGGTCCCCAGCCCCAGGCCCCGTGTGGCAGACCAAGACTTCCAAGGATGCCAGCTCCTCCGCGGGCAGGGAGAGCTGGGCCAGGCTGGTCCAGGTGCCATCTGCGGCTGGGGAAGGGCCGTAGGTGAAGGCGCCCAGGGCGCTGCCATTGCCAGCGGAGAACCAGACGGGGCTCTCGAGGCCAGGGGGCGCCGCGTCCAGGACCAGGCAGACCACCAGCACCTGCTGCTTCCCGTCCACCTGCATGGTGATGGGGGGCGCCAGCGAGGGGAAGGGGGTGCCGCCCACACCTGTAAGAGAGCGTGCACCTGTGGGCGCCCAGATCTGCCCATGCCCTCCCAGGCCCGCACCTCACTGCAGGCGTCTATGCTTCTGTCTGTCCTTCCCCATCCATCTGTCCCTCCGTCCTCTCCACCAGCCCTCTCTCCTTGCGGTTTCCCCTGAAACACCCTTCCTTCCCTCCACTCTTTCATCCACCTCTCTACTCATTCACTCTTTTCCATCATCCATGATTTCTACAGCGATTCTCTCTACTTTCCATCTATATGTCCATCCGTCCATCCATCCATCCGTCCATCACCATCTATCATATCTGAACCTTTCTGTGCAAGGCATTAAAAATACAACATTAATTTATATACAACATTATATTATATGTAATAATTTACATATACATTGTCCCCACTTTCAAAGCACTCAGTCTCAGTGGAAACAACACTCATAATACCTGGTTGTGCCAGACTCAGGAGAGTGGTTGTCTCTGGGGAGAAACGGGAGAAATAAGATCTGGAATCAGACTAAAGGGGCTTCAAATATGTCTGTAACTTTTTGTTTCTTGGAAAAAATCTAGTTCAGCCCAACTGGTGTGGCCCAGTGGCTGAGAGGCAGCCTAGGAACCAGGAGCCACAGCTGGATTCCTGCTCAGGACGCTCGCCTGGATTTTGGGCTTGGTCCCCAGTGCGGGGCATGCAGGAGGCATCCAATCGATGTTTCTCTCTCATCATTAATGTTTGTATCTCTTTCTCCCTCTCCCTTCCCCTCTGAAATCAATACAAAAATACATTTTAAAAAAATAGTACAAAATCAATAAAATATATTTAAAAAAAAATAAAAAATATAGTTAAAATATGGCAAGATTGTAGCCATTTGTTAATCTGAGTGGCATATAGAAGGGTGTTTGGTGTATTATTCACCCCAGGACATGCTTAGAGAGAGGAAGAAAGAGAAACATTGATGTGAGAGAAACAGCCTCTACCGGGATCGAACCTGTAAATCAGGTAGATCTGCCCTTTATTTTCCCGAATAGTCCTAATTTTCCACAAATTTAGTCTTTTCAGTACGGATGATTCATTTAATACATAACAATGTTATTTTTGAACAGTTGGATATTTGCTCATAAAAATTAAATCTTAAAGGTTAAAACCTCCAAACAAATTAAAACTGTGAGTTAAGCCCTAGCTGGTTTGGCTCAGTGGATAGAATGTCGACTTGTGGACTGAAGGGTCCTGGTTTCGATTCCAGTCAAGGGCATGTACATTGGTTGCGGGCTCATGCAGGAGGCAACCAGTTGATGTGTCTCTCTCACATTGATGCTTCTCTCTGTGTGTCTCTTCCCCTCCCTCCCACTCTCTCTAAAAATCAATGGGAAAGTATCCTTGGGTGAGGATTAACAAAAAAACTATACACAAACACACACACACACACACACACACACACACACACACACACCACAACTCCGAGTGTAGCCAGGACAAAGAAATGCCCAGGCTGCGGGGACGCGACCCAGGGTATTTTGTGGGGAGGAAGGGGTGTGGAGTGCTCACATAGGATTTCTCGAAGGTTAAATAACTGACCTGTAGCATGTGGACGATTAGCAGCCCACTCAGATGTGAGCTCAGAGCTCGGCGACTCCAACTCCCACATATCACCCCACATGAAGGATGACTAAGATTTTGCTCGGTGACACAGTGGGCCAAACTGGGACGTGGCCTTGGACAGAGGTGGTTTGTCTCAGGCGCTTGATATGCTGAGTCTCAATGGTCCCATCAGTATCATGGGGTTAGGGACGCCAGCCCCACAGTTTGTTGGTAGAATAAAGTTGATGAATGTAAAACACCTGGCGGATGAGTATCCAGATTCTATCCATGCTATCATTAATGAGGCATCACAGACAAAGGGAGGAGTGAGCTCCAGGAACCACAGCTCCTGAGCCTCCGCAGCGGTACATGCAGAGACACTCCCCAAGGTGAGCTAAGCATCTGCCTCCTCCACAAAGCCCCCCAGGAGTGCTCCTCCTCAGCCTGGCTGCTTCCTTCCAGGAGCTCAGTCGCCTGCCCTGGGCATGCCCTGCTCCACATGGGCATGGCTGGCCTCCTCGGGAGGGAGAGCTGTGACACACTGGGTCAGCTCCAGCTCACGGAGATGTCTTCATTCAAAGGCCAAGGGCTCCCCCCCCCACACACACACACACACACACACATGCAAATCTGCACAGGCTCTACATGAAGCTGGAACCCTCACAATTCTAGTCCTTTGGCTCCAGCCTTAATCTTTGGAGCCTGGGGTACATACACCCGGGAAGTCACTGAGGCCCTGGGCCTTCTCCTGGGAGCCCCCTGAGAAGGGGCAGCTGGGAGTGAACAACAGGCACTCTGAGCCCTGCTGGAAAGGGCCCTGAGGGCAGGAGACCGGGACAGGACGGGCAGGCAGGAGGGGCCTCACAGTGTTGCCAGGTCCCCTCACTCCCTATCACATAGCAGCCCTGGCTCTCCGCCCGCCTGCTTTGTCTCTCTGTACCCCCACGAGCTGACTCCTCCCTACCAACACTGTGGACCCCAGGGGAGCAGGACGGGGGCCCAGAGCAAGGTGGCTGGGAGGTAGAGTGACTGGGGAAGGGAAATGGGCTGCTGAGACCTTCTCAGAGGCTCCAGTGCCTCTGTGCTGCCTCCTTGCATCTCACCCGGACGCCCAGAGGGAGAGGGTGGTTCGGGGCAGACAAACGGGGCACAGAGAGAAGCAGGCAGGGACTCACCTGCGGGCAGGGCTGGACACCCGAGGGCCAAGAGAAGCAGCAGCCAAGCCCCGGCCATGGCCCATCTGCGGGAGGCAGGTCGCAGCTGCAGCCCGGAGGTGTGGGCTGGGGAGCAGGCACCCACAAGGCTGCCTCCCAGGCCACAGGCCCAGCTGCACTCGGCTGCTCCACCAGGGAGCCGTTTCCCTCCACAGGGGCCCCTCCCACTCCACCTGGGCCCCCACCCCTTCCTCTCTCAGGGGCAGGGAGCTCAGGCTGCCACCCCCACAGCAGGAGCTGGGCGCCCACCCTCCCTCCCATCTGCAGAGCACCGCCCTCACTGGCCCTGCCATCTGTAGGCCACAGAGCACCAGGCAGCATGGCAAGGGCTTAACACACAGCACTGCATGCCGGCCCCTAGCGACGGTGCCTCCCTTTCACAGGTGAGGCGACTGAGGCCAGAGGGACGGAGTGGCCTGCCCGAGGCCATCCAGCTGGCAGCGGCAGAGCCAGGCTGGAGCTGTTCCTGGTGGCTGGCCAAAAAGCCCCAAAAGCTCATGTCCATGTCACTCTGCCCCTTTTAAATACAATTTATGTTTTAGAGAAATTTCAAGTTCACAACAGAATTGAGCAGAAGGTTCAAAGATTTTCTATGTATTCCCTGCACTGTCACGTAAAACCCCTTAAAAAAATAAACTTGTTACAAATGCCATTTGCAGTGACTCCACTAAACTTTAGCTAGGTAGGTATCATTTTGATGCTAAAACTTCCCATTAGGTGTACACCCTAATGAAATAATGAGAGATTTGGTCATTACAAGACAAAGCTGTGTGCACACAGAAAACACAGGAGCAGGCCCTGGCCGGTGGCGCTCAGTGGTCAGAGCGTTGGCCCGTGCATGGAGGGGTCGAGAGTTCAATTTCCGGTCAAGGGCACATATCTGGGTTGCAGGTTTGATCCCTGGTCAGGGCACATTTGGGAGGAAACCAATGCTTCTCTCACATTGATATTTCTCTCTCCTCCTTCCCTCCCTACCTCCCTCTCACTCCCACTTTCTAAACAGCAATGAAAATAAAGGGGGCATATGTAATACTTTCAGCAATAAAGAATTATTTTTAAAAATAAAAATAAAATAAAAGTAATGTATATTGTAATTTCCATTGTAAGATTAATTGGATTTGAGGGAAGCAACTTTGCTTGGGGGGGAAGAGTAGAGTTATTAGCATTTTATCCATTTCCTCAAAGGGGAAAAAAAAAGGCAATGCAAAAATATCCGATGGGGATGGGGGGAGGATTAACAAAAACCAAAAACAAATGCAAGCGCAATTATAAACAACCTGATTGCCCAATGCTGGGGAAGAGTTAAATTAATGCATGTTTGGATGTTTATGTTAGTGAATATTATGCAGCAGCTTTTCAAATCATGTTTTCAAAGAATGTTCAGTGACATGGGATTAGGACAGAGTTTGCTTCAGAGTGTGGGCTGTGAAGGCAGACCACCTGGCTTTCAACCCCGACTGGTCACTGAGGAGTCATGTGACTTTCCCCAAATTACTTACTTCCCTAATTCTCCATTTCTGAACTAGAATAAGCCGATTGGAAAATAATTATCTAGTTTTTATTAATCTTTAAAAAATGTATGTATATTTCACATGTTTAAAACATTATTTTTATTGGTTGCAAAGAGGAAGGGGCAGTGGGGGGGAGAGAGATAAAAACATCAATGATGAAGGAGGGTCATATTCAGCTGCCTCCTGCATGCCTCCTACTGGGGTTCCAGCCCAGAATCTGGGCATGTGCACTGACCTGGAATAAAACAGTGACCTCTTGGTTCATGGGTGGATGTTCAACCACTGAACCAGAAAGTTTATATTTCTTTCAGTGTTTAGTATTAGAAGTACTTCGGATTTTAGAAGTATTGTGATATTTTTGTGCCCACAAATATGCTGCAGACACAACTCATGCTTATATTGCTGAGCCTATGGTAAAGATTACTCTTCTTATGCATCATTTTGCTTAAAGACAGTTTAGAAGACCCTATTGACAATGAAGACTGACGGTGCATACTAAGAAGTCATATATTATTTCATTTTAATATATGTGAATACATAGTTACATACACAGGAAGTTTAAACAAACAGGCTCCAAATCTAAAGAGAAATGATGTACTCAATTTTGCATAAAAATATGTAACTATTCCTAGGAGAAAGCTTATCAAATGTTTCAACTCATATCTCTGTGGTAGGACTTTTTGAATAGTTACTTTTCATCTGTCTAGTTGTTTATTTCTGAAATCTTCTACAACAAATCTGAATTGTGTTAAAAATAAAAAATAAATATTATTTTAATATATATTGTAGTACATTTTAGAGAGAAAGGGAGAGGGAGAAAGACGTAGAATTATCAATGATAAGGGAAAATCATTGATCAGCTGCCTTTGCATGCCCACCATTGGGAATGGAATATGCAACCTGGGCAGGTGCCCGGATCCCAAATCAAACCATGACCTCCTGCTTCCTAGGTCCATGCTCAACCTAGAGCCACGGCAGGAAGGCAGGAGATAAACGCGATGACAAATAGAACCACAGATGCACTCTAGTTTATTGAACCGATCCTTTATTGTTAGACATTTGGGACAGGAGACATGTGTGATCACCCAGTAACCCCAAATCCACAGGCACGTCCTGCAAACGCTGGGCGGCGCTGAGCGCTGGGTCTGGGCGTCTTGTCCGACCTCCCAGAGGACCCAGGTCCTGCAGAGGCTGGCGTCCTCCATGGAGCTGTGGCCATGCTCCATCCTGGATGCCGCGTCCGAGGTGCTGGGCCACGAGGCTGCGCAGGGAGCGCCTGTCGGGGAGGTGGGGGGAGAGGGGGGCGGGGGAGCACGGAGTGTCCAGCTCGGGGCCTGGGAGCTTCACGGCCAGAAGGTCTTGCAAGGTCCGGGCCTAGGGCTGGGGCCCAGGCCCCGCAGCCTGTGGCAGGTGGTGGCGGCCCGCTGGCAGTACTTCCTCTTCCTGGGGCTCTGGTGGAAGGCCGCCTTCTCCTCCTGGAGCGCCTTCTCTGGGGCTTCCTGGGTGGAGGGGCAGAACTGGGGACACTGGTCCAGGAACAGGCTGAGGGAGCGCTGAAGGGTGACTTTGTCCCCACCCTCTTCTGCTGGAACTGGCTGGTGTGGACTCTGCAGGGGTGGGCCTCGGGCCTTGGGCTTGCGGGGCAGGGTGCTGGGGGCCAGGGACGGCTGGTCTGACGGAGCGCATGTCTCTGGGAGCTGGCTGCCCAGCCCTTGGGCCTTGGCAGGCGGGCTGCTGCCGCTGCTGCTGCTGCTGGCCGGGAGGGGCCTCTTGGCACCTGCAGCCAGGCAGGGCTTGGGGACCAGGGCCACCCTCCTCCTGTCCCCGCCTGATGCTGAGATGTGGAGGAAGGAGAGCTTCGGGGTCGGAAGCTGGGCGGCCCGGGGCCGGCTGACTGAGTACCTGGGAGGCTTCTTTGCCTTCAGCCCCGGGTCACACAGCTCCTGGGCGGGGGGCAGAGGGGTGCGGGGGACCAGGCCTCTCCTCACCGCCTCTGGCTGGATGAGGAGAAATTTGGGGGCCCAGCTGTCTCTGGGGGGAAGGTGGGGCAGGCAGCCAGGGCGGGTAGGATGATGGCAAGGATGCAGGGGCACAGGGATGGGGCCTGGGCAGGAAGCACGCATCTTCTGGGCCCTCCGAGCTTGCAGATGTGCGGGAGGATGACAGCTGGGTGCCGGGACCCTCAGCAGGGCTGGCGCTCGCGCTGCTCTTCTTCTGGGAGAAGACATGGTCCTGCTCTCCTGGGCTCTGCAGTCTAATGGCTCAGGCTGGCTGCCCTCCGCCCTTATATGGGAAGGAAGCCCAGCCTCCCCGCAGACTGGCAGGCTAAGCCAATCAGTTCCACTGGACCTCATGCTCTCCAGTCTGCCATTCAGATCTCTTCCCTGAACCCACCCTAATTAATCTGATCTTCTCTGGACTGGCTTCTAGAAGCCCGAGCTCCCTGGGGACCGCATCCACAGGAGCAGTTCCCAGACCAGAGGGTGGGCCCCATCCTCTGCTCAGCCCTCCCTGTGCCAGGCCACTGAATGCCCCAAACTGGCCCACAACCACTCCTGTCTCTGGGCCAAGGGGAGGAAGCCAAGGCTCACAGAGGTCAAGACCACACAGCGCAAGTCGGGAGCAAAGCAGGGACCAGACACTGTGACCTTTTTGGAGGGCTCACCCACATTCACTCTCCTGCTCTCCAAGGACCCTCCAACCCCGCCAGCGTGAAGCAGAATGCTGATTGAATGTGGGTCTGGGCACTCATCTGCCAGGACCCGAGCCTTGTTGGGCTGGGTCTCCTTGCCTTGCTTGGTGAGAGAGAGGTCCTCTTTGTTGCCTGCCCAGGGGACAGAGTGGTCAGATGCAATGTCTCCTTGTCTTCTACCTTCTCTGGGGGCTGGAACACGTGTTCATCCCTCCATGAGGCTCCCCCCCTTTTCTCATCTGGCTAAAGGGAACCTCTGTGCCCATGAAACACCCTTACTCTCCCTCCCTGTCCCTGGCTGCTACTTTCCACTTCCTGTCCCTGTGAGTTTGACCACCTCATGAAAGTGGAATTCCACAGAACATGCCCTGGTGGGCTGACTGATATCAGGAGGCATCATATCTTCAAGGGTCATCATCCATGTGGGAGCATGTGTCAGCATGTCCTTCCGTTTAGAAAACTGAACACTGTCCCACGGTCCCAGTCTATAATTCCTTTTGCTTCTTATCCTTCCATCTCTCAATGCACCTTCCCCGGTGGCTGCTTCTATTCTCAGATGGTGTGAACACACATCCCTTTAGGACCTGCCTGTCATTTTTGTGTGTATCTCCCCAGAAGTGCCATTGCTGACCCATTTGGTAATTTTTTTGATTGTTTTTTGTTATTCATTTGCGTTTTTCATTTGCTAATATTCTTCACTAGAGGATATTTTCTCCATTGATTTTTTGAGAGTGTTTGAAGGAATGGAAGGGGATAAAGGAGGGAGAGAGAGAGAGAGAGAGAGAGAGAGAGAGAGAGATTGACTCCCCCACACCC